CCCCCCCCCCCCCCACAAACACACACACACATTTTGTAAAATGTTCCATATCAGCGAACACTACAACGCAAAGAGAATGCATAAAGAGAAAAATTGCATATTTAAACTTTATGAATTGAAAATGCCGCCCCACCTTTAAAAAAAAGCCTCCCTGGGCAAGCAGCCATCTCCGTCACCCCCAGGGTTTCTTTCAGGCATATCTCCGGAGGAAATCAAGTGGCCCCCCTCCCGGAGCAAAATGTGTACAACTATATAACAATTATATATTTTTTATTTAAAAAAATAAATGGTCATTTTTAAACATTATTAAAAAGAATCGTAGGCTATCCGGTGCCTTTAACTGATTACAATTAGTGGAATCTATGAAATATACGTACGCTCGATACATTTGATGATCCGTATATTTAAAGCTAATTTAAATGCTTACAATATTAGATTATTAATACCGTACTGGCCGCTACTGATAAATAACAGATGTGTTACTTCCCGTTTTTCGCACTTGTCGGTATTTTTATTCATTTATTCATTTTTTTTTATTTTTTGCAACTTCACAAATTTAAAGACTTTAATAACAATGTATTAAACTACCTTTACATCAATATCAAGGTCCACAATTCTAATATTAATTCTTGCTAAGCATCAGACATATGCAATATATTTTCAAATTTTATTTCATTATAAAAGCATTGCTTTTAAAGTAGGGATATGAAGGCTTCAAGATATTTTTATCAGCATAATTATAAATGTACTCGATTCAATGAATGCCGAGTTTTATAAAATGGAAGCTTAAAAAAATAAAATAAAAAGAGATATAGTTTTTTAATTAAGAATTTAATGGGCGCATACAAATAGTGCTCATTTCATTAATTATTACATCGAACCTATATATTGGAAACCTTTTTTTATGTTGAAAGTTCCTTTATTAACTATGCAGTTAACCCCGAAAAGGTTTAAATAGTCAGTCATATACAAAAGAATATTTGCATAACACAAGCACGTCAAGCCGAGTTGTCACTCAACTTTTGCAAATTTTGGGTTTTTGTCCCGGCCCCCCCCCCCCAAACCATGAAATGAAAGGTGATAGTGACAAAAAATATACATCACATCTTTAGGCCCCTAAAATACCCTTGGCCCACTGCAGTCGTAGGTGTTGCTGGGCGAACACGATGTTTCTAAGATTAAGTGATTTCTATTTTTTTTTTTTTAAACTAGTATCACTTCAGTTGCTCTCCAAGTGTAGAGTGTTTCGAAACTAAATTAAAGTATTTGCTAAACTGCATTCTTGTATTTTGGATTTATCCAACAAAAAAATTGTTGGTACTGGTATAAAGATTTAATATGCGTTATTGAGCTAGGGAAAATCCATACCCTTGATGGCGCCACAACTGTGGTGAATTTAGTTCACATCTCGCTGGTGTGGCGTTTACATAAATGTGTTCATTTTTTATGGCTAATTTGGAGCTTCCCACCCGAAAGTTTGAAATGTCATCTCAAAATTATCTGAGAAGTAAAACTGAATTCAAGCATGCGCCAAAATATACGCCACAACTGGAGTGAATTTAGTTGATTTATTGCACTGGAATCATAACGCCTCGCCAGACTTAAAAATGTCCTTCCCCTCGTAAAAAAAAACAACAATCAAATAGAAACACTGAATTCAACTATACTCCAAAATGGACCTCTTGATCTCGAAATAATACCAAAAAAAAATGGGGAGTCGCCTCTACCACTCAAGATTCATCTTACTTACTTATGCCTTTTACCCCGTCTGGGGCATAGGGGGTCTACAGGAATGTTCCATTCATCTCGGCCCTGTGCTTTCCTTTCATGTTGCTTCCAGGTCTCCATGTATTTTAGGGCTTCCTTTCTTTTTCCCTGTGAATTTCATGTTAGGGATTTTCTGGTGATGTTATCTTGGGGTTTGGGAAGGGTGTGGCCTATCCACCTCCATCTCTTCCTTATAATGTCTTAATCAATAAACTTCTGGTATTTCTTTTCAAGTGAGTCTTTCTGGATGATGATGTTTTGCCATATGATTTCAGGATCTTTCTAAGGCCAGTTTTTAATGAAGGTCTGTACTTTCTGCCCAATCGTCGCTGTTGTTATACAATTTTCGGCTCCACAGAGTAGGACTGTTTTGACTTTTGTGTTGAAAATTCTAACTTTGTTGCGAAGACTTTGTTGACTCCCAATTTTCTTTAATAGCACAAATAGCCTTTCCGATTCTAACTCTGACATCCGATTAGGATCCACCATTTAAGTCAATGGTGCTGCTTAAGTATGCGAAAGCCTCCACGTCTTTCAGTGCATTTTCTACCTGAGAGATATGCTCTTGGTTGGCTTACTTGACCTTTATGTCCTTTGTCTTGCGTTTATTTATATTTATTTATAAGAAAGATTCATCGGAGCCGTCGATTTCTACCCTACACCTCGATGAAAATGATCGTTATTTTTGGTGACGATAAATACACTGCCTATAAGCGTAGTTACTATTGGTTACTAGTCGGTTCTACACTCATCACAGACAAGGAGAAAACTCTTGGAAAGATGGGCAAAACACTTTGATAGTGTGCTGAATATGCCTTCCGTCATCATTGATGAGGCAATTGAAAAACTTCCCCAGGTCCCAAAGAACAAGTCACTGAACGCTGTCCCAACTTTGGTCGACATACAGCCAGACATCTGCTAACTAACCAGTGGCGAAGCACCTGGCTCCAACATGATTCATACCGAAATATACAAAGAGGGTTGACCAGCGTTGACGGATTAAGCTATTGCGTCTAATCCAGATCATCTGGCAGATGGAAACTGTATCACGGGATCTTAGAGATGTCTCCATTATCCACCTGAATAAACACAAAGGAAACCACCAGGCCTGCAACAATCACCGCGGAATTTCACTGCTGTCCATCACAGGCAAGATCTTGGTCCGAGCCCTACTGGACCGCCTGAATGCTCATCTGAAGCTAGGTTTCCTACCGAAAGTCAATGCGGTTTCCACAAAGAACGCGGGACTATCGATATGATGTTTGCTGCCAGGCAGTTCCAAGAGAAAAGCCAGGAGCAAAATACGGACTTATGTTCCACATTTATCTACCTGAATAAGGCTTTTGACACGGTCAGCAGAGATGGCCTGTGGAAAATCAGGAAGAAATACGGATGCCGAGACAAGTCCCCCATCATCCGTCAGCTGCATAATGGCATGAGTGCAGGACAACGGTCAGTTATCTCAAGCATTTCCAGTCACAAACGGTGTGAAGCAGGGCTATGTCCTCATGGCTCACACACTCCGCAGTATCATGTATTCTGCAATGCTGTCTGATGCGTTCAAGGACTCCACCCAGGGCTTGCCAATCCGTTCCCGCACCGATGGATCAGTCTTCAACCTTAGGAAGCTTCAAGCAAAAACCAAGATAAGAAATCAACGAGCTTCTGTTTGTGGACTGTGCCCTCAACGCTGCCTCAGAAGCCGACATGCAACACAGCGTTGATGTCTTCTCTGAGGCCTGCAACAACTTTAGCCTCCCAATGAGGCCAAAGAAAGCGTTACAAAGACACA